GGCATCCACTGGTAATAAGTGTGAATTATTTTATTAAAATTTTTTAACTTATAGCTATTTTAATAATAATTTATGGTATAAAACGGTTATATATGATAAATATTAATACGTATACGGAAATGTTAAGTTTAAATAACTGCATTAAATTCAATTAAATTCTATGTTATTTTATAGTGAAATTTAGGCCTAAAGTTAGGGTTAAGATCGATTTATGTTTTTGCGCCCAAATTGATTAATCGATTAAATCAGACAATATATTATTATAAGAAAAGGTTAGGTAATTCGCTTGACTCTTTTTAACCATTGATGTCATTATTTCTCCATTTTATTTCCTTTTCGGTATTGACTCTATACCATTCCATATTGTGAGAATTTCCGTATATTTGCTCCAGTTTATTCCCATTCTTCCTACTTACTACTCAGAAATAAAATCTTCTAAACATCAATTTCCAATGAATATTACGTATTTATTAATTTATAATCTGTTATTTATTCATTAAAAAGAAAAATTTGAATATGAGTTATAATCGGCAAAATATTGAGAAATTCCAATAGATTTTCGTCTTAATTTCATTTGTATGATGCAATTTCTTTAAATCTATCCTTTTTTTCCGAGTAGAAAATTGTTCTCGGAATAAGACTTGCATACCTTTTACATACGAGAAATATAATGGTGTATTCGCATTCTGAGAACTCGTCCTATATTATTTTTATATTGTAATAGGTCTATTTGTTTGTTGTTATTTCCTACGCTTGCCTGGACGTATTATTTATCGTCCGACCGTGGATGCGTTTCGGAATCGGTGAAAATATGGTGTAAAACTGATTGAACTTTGGTTATTTTTTAAAATTTAATTATTGATTGATTTATAAATATTGGCGTGTTAATAAAATTGCTATATTCAAAGATTGACTCTACCATCAAATATTAAAAATAGACAAAACCGGGGATGTCTGAGTTGTCCTACCTATGCCATTTAATAACATAATTTGGGTGGAGCGTTAGTGAAGCATCTATGTGGATTAAGGAATTGGGTTTGTTCTCAAAATCTGTTCAATTGATTTTGATTAAGCTTTGCTGTTTTTTATTAATTGCGACGAGGAATCCAAAAATGTAATGATGGTCCATTTAAATATAAAAAATAGGAGTCCATGACTTTGTTTTGATTACACAGAAGTATTAAAAGTGACAATGTTCGCGCTCTCTGATGTAACTAAGAGTGCCTAATGAAATTTAGGTATAGGGGTCAAAAATAAAATTGGCATTGCGTGCACCTAATGGAAAATAGGCATAAAAATGAACAAAACACAAAAACAAAAGCAATTGATGGCGATTGCTTTGTTCTTGGATCATTTCTGTGTTGGCAATTTCCAGGATTGTGTCTTCCGTGGGTGGCAGGTATGAGTATCACCTCTTCTATGCTCTTGGGTGAAGGGATCACTTCTTTCTTTCTGGCTCCATCTCAATTCTATTGCAATATAACAAAGTCATGGAATGTCCTAATTATTATTTTTAGACACTGTAAAAAAATGATTTTATGTCCAGTTCTTAATAGTCCTTTTATCCATGGTATTTTAATGTTATTTTTTTAGTTGTAAGTAGAAATAACAGACATATTTTGCTTATAATCAAACTTTAATTGGTTTCATTTCAAATTTTTATATCCTTGAAATATTTTTGGCATTGGTTGTTTTATTAAGACTTGAAAAAGTGACATCCTAATGTTTTCAGATTAAAAATTATTGTAAAGGTTTTAGCAATAAATTTAAGTTTAAAAACTTTTAAATCTGAAACTGTCATAATTTTTATACTAATAAAGCAATAGATTCTAAAGTTGTTTAAAAGTAGTTTTGGTGTAAATTGATATTTGTAAAACTTATTCAGTTTATTAATTAGAATATGTGGATTGCTTAATTTTTCATAAAAATAATTATTTTATTTTTGTTATGATGATGTAAAATATCACTTAGATATAATATATATATATATATTTTGGAAATTTAAATTTAAGTAAACTGCATTAAAAATTAAAAAGGTTTAAAGGTATATATATATATATATATACCTCTTTTTAATTTTTAATGCAGTGTACTTAAATTTAAATTTTCAGTATTACCAATTTCCAAATTATTTCAAGATTATTTTTGTAGCTTTTTAATAATACTGTTTGCACATGAATATCTTATTTATGTTATATTTACCTGATGTTATAATTATAAATACATAATGTCAGATAGTGTTTGTGCATCCAAGCCTGTTGTGTTGTAAAAATATAACAAACATTGACATCATTGAAGCTATTGTTTTTACTCCTGGAAATATCAAGATTTTGACGTCACATTAACAATTAAACAAGTAACAGACAATAAGTAAAAGCAAGGTTGCAAAGACATATATCAAAGCAAAAAACAATATGGCTGACAAACACCAAGCATGTTCTTATGTGGGCATGCATAATGATGATGCATTGATGTCAATAAAGGATCAAATATGTTTGGTTCTGCAATTTTGTAAAATAAACATGAAACTTATCTTATGCTTATACTGGTACATTATTCATAAAGTTATAATGGATGTCTTTTATAATGTAAAATATGTCGTGTATAAATTCTATCATCCACCATTCAATATGGCATCCACTGGTAATAAGTGTGAATTATTTTATTAAAATTTTTTAACTTATAGCTATTTTAATAATAATTTATGGTATAAAACGGTTATATATGATAAATATTAATACGTATACGGAAATGTTAAGTTTAAATAACTGCATTAAATTCAATTAAATTCTATGTTATTTTATAGTGAAATTTAGGCCTAAAGTTAGGGTTAAGATCGATTTATGTTTTTGCGCCCAAATTGATTAATCGATTAAATCAGACAATATATTATTATAAGAAAAGGTTAGGTAATTCGCTTGACTCTTTTTAACCATTGATGTCATTATTTCTCCATTTTATTTCTTTTTCGGTATTGACTCTATACCATTCCATATTGTGAGAATTTCCGTATATTTGCTCCAGTTTATTCCCATTCTTCCTACTTACTACTCAGAAATAAAATCTTCTAAACATCANTTGGAAGCGGTGGATGCGCCGCTTTCCTTGTATTTTTAAAAAATAAATACATATTAATTTTAATTATATGAAAATAATCGCACAATATTTTATTATAACCGCATTATGTATCTTATTACAAAATCTATACAACACGTGAAAAAAAGTTAAGATTGCTATTGTGTATTCAAATATTATATTAGTGGCGGAATGGAAGCGCTGTATTGTCAGCTTCCAAACAGCCAGATTATACTCATTCGTGCAGGCGCTTTACAGAGCACCAACCTCACCCGGTTTAGCTGGTGGAAGCTACACACTTATAACGCTTCCAACGATTCTATCCACGACCGATTCTGTGCTGTTAGTCGCCTGCCCGCTAGATACTTGGCCGTACTCGCTCGATTACGCGAATCGAGAGTAGATTTATAACTTAACCCAACCGATAAGAATTTACAGTTATGTTTTTATGATAGTTCTGTATAGTTGACAGGAGTTTTAAAAAAAATCCATTAAAATATTTGATATTTTTATTCCGCTCTCCCATTTTATATTACTCACGAATTTTAATGTTAAACCAGTGATATTACGATTTCGTACGTCCCATCTTTAAGGGGATGTAGAAAAAAACGTGCACAATTCTTGTACAATATTAAAAAATTAACTGTTACTTTGTCAGCATCATTTACAACTAAATTTAAACAAAAGCTTAACCGAACCAATCTCTAGCCGAGTACAGCGGGGACTGATTTCTTCGTAATATTAGACGTAATAAAGACAGAAATTTTTCCAGTTCGATGAGAGTGACCGAAAAGTTGTAAATTTTGGAAATTTCCGTGGACACCTGGTCCACGGATTAGTTAGAAAACAAATGACTGTTAAGTTTAACATATTTAGATTTTTACAGCTATGGTGAGAAACGTTTAAAATTTACAACAACCCTGTCCTTTGAGATATACTAGTGATGCGACAAAAGAAGCATTTGACATTAACCGGTATCAGCACCGTGCGTGCATGCATGCCAAATCCCGAGGGTGTTTTAAATATTAAAACAACCCACACCTACCAAGATCGTCTACGATTCCATCCATGAGCCACTAGTAGGGAGCAATTTTAACTAAGTGGATTATTTTAATACTTAAAAAGTAAAGAATATTTTATGATATTTTCACGTACGTTTCTTCACAAAACTATATTCATACAATAGAATATTTTGTACCAGGTATATATAATTGTATATCCATCACACATTTTATTTTAACAAGTAAGTTTTTATAATTTTATTTTTAATTTTAGCCCTTATATCGTGGCTTGCGATTTAGAATGTAATTGCGATATTGAAAATTTATTTTTAAAAAGTTTTGGCTCGAGACCATATAATGAGAAAGAAAACATTATTAAAAGAGAAAGACCAATGCCTAAATTAAATATAAATACGTCAACAAAAATTTGTTCGACATTTTTACCATAAAATTTATGAAGAGAAAATGGCTTTGTGGATGCATAGAAATGCAAAAATTGTTTTGTTGGCCTCGCCTATTATTTTCAAATGAAATTAGTGTGTGGAATAAGAATAGCTTTGACGATTTAATTTAAGTAATTTGAGTAAAGCTCGCAAAAGACACAAAAATCGTAAATCTCGCATCGAGTCTTTCGTAAAATTGAAGCAATTTGGTAATCAAAATAGAATAAAATTTAACATTAGTAAACAATATAAAATAAATATTGAAAATTATATCAAAGTTACGGCTAATAGATATATTATATCTAAATTAGTAGATGTTATCGAAGCGAGAATTGGCATTTAGAGAGCATAGAGAATCTATTGAATCTAATATAACAGATGTAATTATATTGAACTTGCTTATTTATTAAGTGCGTTAGATAATCTATTAATTAAAAATACATTTAAAGAAGTTCAGAAACTTTTGACAAAAATCACGGAAGTTATTAAATTTAAAATTGAGTGAACGAAATCGTCCACTCATCCACACACGCGCACAATAACATGTATACATACAGGAAAAAAAAAAAAATTTCTGCATTTCTCGACGTTTTGAGGTTCTCTAAGTCCAAAAATGTAAAAATTTTGGGGATTTTTAACCGGGCCTCTGTTATACAGTGGCGTGCCGTCATTAGAAGCGGTGGAAGCGCCGCTTTAATTGTATTTTCTAAAAAATAAATACATATTAATTTTAATTATATGAAAATAATCGCACAATATTTTATTATAACCGCATTATGTATCTTATTACAAATTTCTATACTACACGTGAAAAAAATAACAACATTGCAATTGTATATTCGAATATTGGTGGCGGAGTGGAATCTCTGTATTGTCAGATTCCAAAAAGCCAGATTTGCGCACGCGCTTTACAGAGCACCAACCTCACCCGGTTTAGCCGGTGGAAGCCTACGACCTTGAGTTGATCTACACATTTCAACGCTTCCAATTCTATCGGGGACCGGTTCCGGGCTGTTAGCCATCCGCCCGCTAGATATTTGGCCGATTACGT